CTTCGTTCACCGTCTTAATAATAAAGGATTAAATTAACTGCAAAAACCGTGGACGAAGATCCTGCTAATTGTAAACGTTGGATCCCTGAAAAAGAGATCTAATCAGCCAAAATATAAAGAACCAAGAACGAGAAGTCCAAAGACTACTGCAAAGCTGATTTAAAACAACGTGTATTGTTTTTTATAACAATATTTCGGCTGGCCATACCAGCCTTCTTCAGGTTTACAGATGTTACATCGTCTTAAGGCCTTTGTGCAGAAAAAGAGGCACATGCAGGCTTTTAGAAGCCTTAGTGGTATAGCAGATATTTATCTTCATGGAGTTGGCGGCCGCACGACAGCAAAATTTCGTATAGACTTTCATGTGGTGCGCCAATTAGTGTCAGATGTGATTATTTTGGAGCTCGGCTCCAACAATCTGGTGGAGCTCTCGCCGTAGACAGTGGGTGCAGAACTGGAAAGTTTAGTTCGGGAACTGTACGAGATTGACTCGGTTCAATTTGTCGTCGTAGGGCAAGTTCCCCGTAGGCATACACCGAACTCGGTCGAGTATAATTGCACGGTGGGCAAGCTTCACCAATATCTTAAGATTGTCCTGGAGCCGTTGCCTTTTTGTTATTACTGGCGGCATAGAGGTAATCTTTTCTGCTGTGTATTAAAAAGACATTTTCTTTCGAGTAAAAAAAAAAGGCAATTGCTTTTACATGGTTGCTAAAGGTCTCCTTTCTTTCGTACAGCGGGATGCTTCGGTGGCGGCTGACAAATCTTCTAAGGGCCTCGACTTGACCGAAACCAGAAACCGCGCCTAAAAAGTCTCTGGCACCCAGGGTAAATTGCCTTACTCAACGGCGCGAATTACTAAACGAATTTCGCAAACCTTCTTGCAGTTTGGGGTTCTCATTACGCTTTTGTTTGTACACATTTATTTTTTACCTTTAAGTTGAATTCCGCGTAATTAAACACCGTAGCAATCACAGATATCTGCTCTCCTCTCTGTACAGAGTAAGGCAATCGAAGAGAAACAAAAAATTCCTTAAAGGTTTTGACGTAAAGTGGACGAGCCACTCCTAGGCCTGTCAAATTTGAAATTCCAACTGCTTGTATAACCCAAGTTGTAATAGTGTCTGGTAAGGTGGCCAAGAAATGAAACTTGCCGTCGTTACTGAAAGTAAATTCAAGGAATAGACTGTTACAGATGGCGAAGTAAGTGAGGTGGCAATATTATTTGAAAAATTGTAAACTAGTGCAAAGTTATTAAAAGAGGCTAGAGGAATGTAGAACCGCATCCCCGAAGGAGGTGGTGCTGTCATGTAAAATGACCTGGCCATCCTGGGGGTCAGGAATTTAATATTATATATCCTTCTTTTTTTCTTTCTATCGCATTGTTTTGTTCCCATTATCCCAAATACTTTTTACGCTTCCTTGTTCTTAAGATATTTTTTTCCCCTGTTCAAATTGTTCATGTTACCTTGTTGCTTTAAAACCCTGGGAGACCCTACTTTGAATGCCACTTCTAGAAGGGAAATAGAGCGGTTAGGCAACAACGCAAACTAAGCAAGATTTGAAATTACTGTGCTTATCAATTATTAAACCATTCGAACCTTAGTATTTTTTATCTTAGTTCTGGTTTTAAACCTTGGTTGTAGTCTTAGTTCTTGGCCGTAGTTTGTTGACCCTTTTTTTCGAGGACCCTTCGGAAAATCACCTTTAGGTGATTGGAGGCCTCTTCTTTAAATTAGCAATTAATGAATGGGGCTGAATAGGAAATGAAGAATAAAGTAGATCGAGGAGGGTGTTATCCACCGAGGCCGAAGGCTGGAGTGGATAACACCCTCCGAGATCTGCTAATTCTTCATATCCCACGAAAGGCGAATTCATTAATTGCTTTATTATTCATTCAAAATAGTTCCTAGTTTAAAGACATAGCTAAAACATGCTGCATCGATGTTAAGTTCATCTTCGATAGTGTACGTTTAGGTTTGTCCAGCTCCACAAATATTCTCCAAATAGCAGATGTCGCACTCCGAGTTGTCTTCTTGTTGTTTTTGCCATGTTTTTAGCTATTACTTTGCCCAGTTCCAGCTGTAGTTCTTACTCTTGAAACGAGTGAAGTGTCCGCCCTTTTTTTTTCTTTTTTTTTTCACAACAAAACAACTCAACCTCGTCCCCAGGTCTTCTCGGTAACGGTGCCTTAACCTGTAGCGGGCTACATTTTTGACGTCATTTCCTCGTTAAACACAAAATTCTTCCAAATTTGGTCATCAGTAACTGGTTATGGTGAATTATGCGTGCGCCTTTAACCAATCAGAATTGGGGAGATATTTTCAATGAATTATTTATTTAATATTTTATCATTAACATAAGAACTCTATGTTCAAAAATTTAACCAAATTTTGGATTGGTTTACATCAAAAGGTCACGTCTCTAGGTTGTTATTGGTAGATTTCTGTTTATTTGGCTTCGTCGCAATTACTATTGACTGACCGTAACTTAACTTTAGAGACCGCGCGTTATTGATAATAATGATAATAATATTAATAGTAATAATAAGAATGACAATAATAAAGATAAATGAAAAGTGCAATAAAGCCGATTCCAATGATCAAAGCACCAGGAAAAGGGACCCTTCATCTTGAAAAAAGTGCCGTTGTTATTATTACATTGCTCATTTCTTACCCAACAGTATCTTCTTCAAAAATCCAAGTTTCAGGAAAGTATTGTCTCACTTGTCCTTCGCTGACCGCCTCGTCATCGAAAGCCAGTTCGAATTGCTGAACCTTTCTGGAACGTACTTGTGTGGTGGAAGGATCTGGAAATAATTTGAAATGCGGACATTTTTTCAGCAATGGTGCATCTTATCTTAGAGGTTTAGTCGTTTACGGAAAACGAGAAACGGGAAATGGTAGAGAGTCTTATACTTTGGCGAAGTGTATCCAAGAACGATGATAAAGTATCAGTTCTTTTCACGATTTTCATCAACCGCAACCAACGACAAAACCTTTCTTGTGATAATAAGTTTCATTTTCATGAGAATGAAAAATCATTTGATAAGAGAGGCTTTGGGTAATTTGGAAATAACGTAAATGTCATTTTCGCCGTTTGTAGTTTTCGAAATTAGACGTGATTTCTTTCTAAACTGAAATCTGTTTACTCTATCTAAATCTCTATTGTGAACAAAGTATCTTCCATGAAATCCCCCCCCCAAAAAAATGAGTGCATTGAAATCTTATCACTGAGCCAAAGTTGGCAGTTCAAATAGCTTAGCTATAATCAAAGTACAAATACCTGTTTCTCCAGTATAATTAAAACAACATCGTCGAAATTCCTGCTTGCATTTTTCGCTTTCGTCAGTCATCCAATATTGAACACGGATAACACATGATGCTCTTGATGGCATATATCCCTGCTGACAGCATTTAACCAGATCTACGAGTGGGAAACAGACCTTTTTACCGAAACGGCGGCCATATTGAATTAATTCGATTTAAGGAGTATTATGGGATGTTTAGGGGGCATGAGCAAGATCAGTTGTACTCGCTTAGTATTAGATATACAGTCTTTCACTGTATATTTCTCGGGAAAAAGGCGATCTTTATTAAATCCTAACACGGCACAACGATCTTTAAGATAAAATGCCTCGAAGGGCGCTCGTAAATGCTAAACGGAATGCGCTCATGCCCCCTGGGTATCCCATAATACTCCTTAAATTCTGACTTATTCAATATGGCCGCCGTATCGGTAAAAAGGTCTATTAAATAGCAGTAATTCCTAAACGTAAAGTATTATTTTAAGCTAGTTTGAATCAGATGAAGCTTACTGGATCCCTACCTTCGCCGTTTGATCTTTTTTTCCTGGGTTTAGACTGAGGACAAGCGAAGTCTGAAAACAAAGACGACGCTTAAAATCTATGTAAATAACTTTATCTGGGCAAAGTTAAATATGTCAACAGTCGTAAGACGAAGTAGAGCGCAGGATGTTATTCCTAGCATAAAGTTTATTATTGCGTTACCAATCTGGATGAGATACTTACTGCCTATAATGACGCCGGTATTCAAATCTTACAATTAACTCATTGAAAAATAGGCATTTTCTATAAACCTGATGTAAAAGAAAAGGATAAAAGATGGCGACCATTGCGGCCGAAATGTGGAAATAAGCATCGATTGCGGATGATAAGGAATTGTCATTTTCAGTAAACCATACATGGGCTATGTATCCAGGCAAAATATTAACAGACAAATTATAACCTCGACACCATGGGGGAAATATCAGTGTGCTCATACGTTCAACTTTTTAACTTTTTAGTTGTTGGTGCAGCCACTGGCAAACGTGATACTAAAGTACAAGCTAAAACGCTGAACGTTTTAATACTGGTAATTTCGATTTCCTCAACACCAACAAAAAGCCCTGTTTACCAGAACGTCCTGTGCTGGTGATATCCGTGTTTGTTAACACAACAGTTCCTGCCCTCTATAAGAATAGAATCAGATTTAAACGAACGGTTATTTTAGCACAAAATGCGAGGAGTTAACTACATAAGTTATGCACATTTAGTTCTCTTTCATGCATTAACCCGCGACTGAACACAAAATAAGTGCTTTAAAGTAATCCCAAGACAGTAAAACATAGCAAGAGGGATATTACAGTTTTATACAAACAGTATTTTTTCCCACATTTTGGCCTTAACTTTCATAACAGCACTATCTCAAGAAGCCGTACTCATGGGCGGATCTAGGGGTGGGCCAAGGGGACACCGGCAGCTCCTCCATCCCGTTTTTCTGAGAATTTCCCTGTCTTATTGTTAAAGAATTCTCAGTAAACATAAATGTTATCTATAAAGAAGGCAAGAACCCGCGCTCCTCCCATTTCTGATTTTCTGTCTCTCTTTACCCCCCCCCCCCCCCCCCCCCCCCCCCCCCACCCCCCGCGAACCTCCGCTCCCCCCCAACACTCCCCCCCCCCCACCCCAACCTCCCACTACACCCCCACCACACAAACCAACCCACTCTACACACAAGAACACAATCATCTCCCTACCCGTTTTTTCACAAAATTACAGTCTTATTTTTAAAAAAAATATCAAACACATAGATTTTGTTTTTTAAAAAGGGCCAAACCCCCGCCCCCCCCCTTTTTTTTTTTTTTTCTCTCTCTCCCCCCCCCCCCCCGTCCCCGGTACATGTACTTACAGTGAAGACGTCCTCGCTATCTCTACCAGCTCCAACACCACATCCAAGATCCAGTGACTCCAAGAGATTAAACACCTACGTTTATTCAGGAAACAAGAAGCAAGAAATAAGGATAAGGGATCAACAAGCAAGTAAAATATAAGATAACTAGTAAATGCTATCTCCCTCATTCAAAATACTCCGTTTTTTGTGAAACAAACTCCTCCAATTATGGGTTAACTACCACAAAATTGCAAGGTGCCTGTAGCAATTTTTAACTCTTATAGACCAGCCACAGAGGCCTTGTTTTCTTCGACTGATGTCAGCAAGAACATCAAAGTCTAGGAAATCTGTTAGTTTTTGTTTTTTTGTTTCCTTGTTTTTGATTTTTGATTTTTTGGGGAGGGTCTTCTTGATATTCGATTCCATGCTTTTTTTTTTAATTATAAAAGTAATTGCTTTCCACAGATGTTGATAGAAAAAATGTATCAAAATTCAGCTGGTAGCAAAACCATGCCGTTACACATCAAAACCGAAGGCAGGTGTTTTATTACTATTTCGAAAAACATTAAGCTTTGAATGGCAAGCTTGGGCTTTTAAATCGATATCTCATGGAAAATGGTAAATATCTCGAACGTAGCTATCAATCCATGTAAAGAATTCCCTCTGTTGTCTAGATTTATCGCTTACTTTTTTCTTGTTCAATTTTTTGCGATTTCTGAGGAGATAAACGCTCTGATCTACTGCAAGAAGTCCAATTCTAGTCCCAGGTGTCGCGGAGAGTTGAATCTTGTACTGAGTGCTCGGATATTTGGATTTTTGACCATCGGACGAGTCTTCATGAAATACCACCTACGAGCAAAGGTTTGGAATTGTTATTCTTTCTGTAGAAGAATTCACAACGAAAGTGAAACTAGTTATAAATTTTGTATATCTGTGGAAATCACGAATGAGCGTTATTTGGAATTGCTTTCACTAATAAGTAGATCAATGTTACCCTTTCTTTCCCGGGTAACTTGAATGTCCTTCACCGGACAGCTTGATAAAGCGACATTAACACAAATTATTTGAGGTGTACATGCCAATCTTCCTCGTTGACATTCCATTCTCTAGATGCCATATATCCGATTATACACCACGGATGTCAAGTATACAGGTTCTAGCCCCAACCTACCCCTTTCCCCTTAATGAATCGTTACAAACAAGAGCAGAAGGTCAAACGAATTCTTCTTAACTGTTAAAGACAGTGCGACAAAACTGACAAAAAAGCAAAACAAAGAGAGTTTTTCCAAGTTAATTCATAAATTTTAATTTATTAAAGAGGGCAGACAACATTTAGCTTTAGATGTCACTCCCATGCAGCGTCATAAAGGTCCTTTTCAGTTGAATTCATGGCAAAAAATATTACCTTATTTGGTAGTCCATCGTCAATCTCAAGCAATGTGCTGTCCACAATAACTTCACCATTTTGTCCAAAGTAGAAAGCCACCAGACGTGACGAAGGAGACATTTCTGGTAAGATCCTAAATCGAAAACTCGAAATCACTCCAACAACGTAGACTTTGATCCACTGAGCAAGTATTTTACCCCGTGCAATAACCTGTGTAGAAGGAAAAGGTGAAAACAAGCCATTTTACGTCTTTTTCGGTCGTTGAGGAGAATTTCCTGGACATTCCGTCAACGTGTTCCATGTGAGATAGATACTTTATAGATACTTTATTATAAACACCATTGCAGCCGTGGGCTGAATTACGGGATATTTACAAATACTGATGATAACAAAGAGAAAATAAGAGAACTTATCTACATCTTATGGACATGGCTAAAAATAAAACTTTTCTTCAAACGCTCGGTTTTACATAGGGGGAGAGTGAAATCACTTTTGCGTCTCAGACCATATTTACAACTCTTCCTTTGGGGGAGGAGGCTATGGAGACTATGGGTGGGGTTACAGACGATCTCGTCAAACAGATCGATTGAAATCTTTTCTCTCCTCTCATAAAGTTTTGGTAGGCCAACTGTTTCTAGTGCTACACTATATGACAGGTCAGGATAGATGATTCAAAGAATCAAAGGATTAAGTAATCTTGTATGATCGACTATGCTGATCTATCGATCTCAGAAATCAATCTTCAAAGTACTTCCCAGCTAATCCTTAAAGCTAACCAGCTGATGAGGGAAGCTAATTTAATGTTTGCATTAAAATATATATAACCTTACCATAAAGGTTATCTTTGAAGCGTTCTTATTCACAAAAACGTCACAATTAATGTGTTGCTTGTCCTGTAAAGAAATAAAAACATAGCTAGTGACTGAGAAGCATCGAAAAGAA